ATGAATTTCGCTCCAAAATCCAAGACTCGTTATCTTATACCTGATTGGTTCGTCCATAAATTATGGTCTCGCCGAAACATTTTAAAAGGATACTTACTGATATGTAAAATATTTTCAAGTGCATATTGTATACAATATAAATACTAGATAAAATACATTATAATTACATTGAATTCGTTCATAAACCAATTGTAGTCAATCCCACAAAACGTAAACCTTATAAACTTATATTTCACTGGTACATTGCGAGGTTTGATCATCTTACTACCTAACACTTAATTCATTTTTAATCATTATTCCAGGGAAATAAAGATAAAAGAAGTAGCTATGTGTTTGGCTTCTCATTGCTTCGACCTTATTTATGGCAATGTAAATTTAACTTGATTTACTTTGAGTAATAAAAAAATACTAATAATAAATGAAAAACTTTTCATACAAACAAGTCATTCCAAATAATCTTTTTTAGTGAAAATGCATGTCGATTACTAATTCTTCCTAGTTTTTAATCAACAACTAATCTACCATATTCTTATTTACCTAATTTATTGTTAATTTTAAATCGTTTATTATTTTACTTTTTCCGTTTAGATCATATGAATTCCATGTCATTGTTTTTGACAAGGGTAAACTAGTTAGAAAGAAATAAACAAATAAATCACAAATATATTTTTTTAATATTCGAAAATATACATTGTGTTAAGTGGTTTATGAAGACTATATATTTTACTGAATGAGAATCACTCTTAAGAAAGTAGGAAAGCCAGGATGAAGCAGGTGCTCAGTATCCTTTAACTGGGAATACTTTTTCATGTGGTATCATTTCGTACGGATAAATGATTATTGTGATACGAACAAGCTAAAGAAGAATAAAATGAGATTTTTAAAAATTCATGTGTATCACTAGTATTTTTTATATACTTAAATAGAGATGGTTATATTGAAATGTTGATGAATTACTGAGTGCTATTTTGTAGTTATTTCTGATCTCATTCCACCTACCATGTTGACTTCAAGTACACGTGTAAGTGATTCGGTGTTGAGTAAAATATTGTTTTATGTTATGTGGCTTAATCCGCTCGGTCAGGATTCCTTTACTCAAGTGTTATGCTACTTAGGAAGGCATACCTCCAATGTTGATGCTTCAAGTGGGATACATACCGATTATATCTAGTTTCGCAAGCAGAGATGCTACTACTGATCTGTTTGATCAGCGATTGAACTCCTGTTCATAATGAATGTTCACGTCTTAAGAGGCACATCAGTTCTAGAAGGTTTAGGGTTGAACCGTAATGTCGAGTGCAAATAATTTCAAAATTTTAATTCGAATCTACCTAATGATTTTCGCAAGCTACCTAAGATCTAAAGAAAATAGTCTGTTACCACTAGGATTACTTATTTGATTTTCCTATTATGAATGTACAAGGGGTGGTATCATAACAAATTATTATTGATTATGTTTGATATTTCTTTGACAAGCTTTTGAAATTGTTTACACACAAAATTTCTTGTTAGTAAATGTCATCCCACAAATATTTATTTTCAGTTTACACGTCATTTCTATGTTGTGTATAAATGTTTCATAATTAGATCACTTAATAGACATTTGTTTATGTGTTATGCATTTCAGGAAACTTCATCAGACATTTTTAAGAAAAAACAAACACTTTTCAGTTAGTGTTGTGCTTCGAAATAACCTAATTATGAATATACTGTTCACTATTTAAACAATTATTCATATTACAATGAAAATATTGTATTTTCATTTTTAAAAAAAACTGATTCGTAATATTGCATTATAACATTTACCCTATAAGTAAGCTAATTTTCATTACAAGCATTAGAATATAGTTAAACTATTTTATTTTGAAAGACATCAGATTTTGAAATTCCATACAGGTATTATTGTTAGATAGTTTTAAAAATTATATAAAGGAGTAGATAGATTTTATACATAAAATGACTATCGTTACCGATTGTACAGTCAGAACGATCAAAGTCGATTCAATATATATATATATGCACAGGTTTAGTAAAACGTTATTTATATTACTTAGGGATTATTTATTTGCTTGGCTTAGTCAGTAATTGATATTACTGATCTTATTCAAGTTGCTAATATACTATAATCTAATAGAAACATAATCAATACATTAGTTTTAAAAGTAAATTGAACATTATAATCTATTGATTGACTGAATTCAATGACTAGACGTTACGATATTGATTAGTAATTACGTGTCGATCAATATAAATTAACTTTGCGTCATAAATCCCTATTTTGTTTTTGTTTTGATAATAATAATAATGATAATGATAATAATATAAAACTAACTAAAAGAAACGGTAGCAAGAATTACTATGATAGATTGTTCATCATATGTGTGTTTGGGTGCTTTGTGACCGGATAATAAAGACATCTTTTTAGTGTTATATTGAATGATGCAATGATAAAGTTTGAGATCAAACATGGAGGATAACACGAATAATCACTTTCATTAGTGGATGAGATGCATGAAGTCTCTGGTGTAAGCAGTATGAGAGGAGAGGTAATCATCATTGCAGCATGCAAACAGTATTGTTGAATCTTTTCCATGTACGGATTGTTGTAAATTTTTACAGACTAACAAAAGTTTGCTTACAACCTATTTCATATAGGAAGTAGATTTCGAATGAAACAATATCACTTTCTACAAAGTGCTATAATTTTGTGTCTCTCCATAGTGGATAGGATTGGTGGATGTAAGATATAATTTCTTTATTATTTGGGAGAATATTAAATTAGCGCGAAGAAAATTAATCCACATTGAGTATTGTAATTTCTAAATTACATTTTCAGAATCAGTGAGCAGCATTAATTTACATTGTGATTTGGCTTGTGTATGACTTAGCACGTGAGGAAAGAACGAATACATCGCCTAATAATCATCCGCATTCAGGAAATGCTTAGCCGTGCTTTAACAGTCACACACACAGTTTATATGAGCTATAGCGGTCAAATGACCAATGGTATTATTTTTCACCACGCAAATTGCTGTCGGAAGAGCGTTTGATAAAGAGGAGTTTATTTAAATTGCTTCGTGTATGCAACTAAAAAAAAAACCAAACCATGCAAGCAATGTTTCTCTTATCCTATAAAACATGTGTTTACTTATTAGAAGCTAGTGGTTAACTTTTTAAAACGCCTTAGATATGCTAAGGTACTGCACTTAGACTAAATGTCTGAAATTATGTTCTGTAATAACTAAGTAAATGAAGTCAAAGTGACGAATGATGTGAATAAAGCCATGTTGTGAATCATTGGTAAGTTTTTCTGCGTTTTGTCGTATACAATATACTCCTTTATTCCAAGGATAATTGGAGTAATATTTATAACCCCACACTTGTACAAATTAGTCTTTCCTTCATCTTTGCAGCATGGTATTTTATATGTAATGCTCCAACATTGAACTCTAATATTCATTTGATAAAAGAGTTTTCAGTCTAACAAGTTATGTCTGGGTGTTTTTTTCATACGATATTTTCTATAAGCAAAGTTTGTTAAATTGAAGCAAAAATGGAGAGTAAGTAATCCATTGAAGAAATCACCTCTTTGTGATTTCATCTTACTGATCGTGCAATAGTTAATAGAAGCATTTCATCTCCTCAAATCCTATTCTAGTAATGATCATCATGTACTCATTAGTGACTGGTTTTAAGATGGATTCCCTGTCCAGTGCTCCTGAGTTTTCAATGGTGATCTAACTTATATCGATTCATGAATTCAACTATTGAAATAAACATTTCATTTTGCAAAATCAAATCTTGTAATGTTTTCTGTTTACAATAATATTAGTAGTAATGATAATGTATGTAGTAATATAGCAAAGTAAGAATCATTTTTAAAAAAATGTTATTCTTGTTATAAAGCTCGAAATATAAGTCATTAATAAAAAGATTATTTTAAGACAACCTAAAATAGTAATTAAAGACGATAAAAAAGCTAAAATAATTCCATTTGTGTTTTATGACTTCAAGAATATCATAGAGTGATGATTTGTATGACGATAGATTATTGCTATTCTAAGCGAAAAAAACAAATTTCGTTTGTCTGTATGAGAAAAAACTTCTGTTTATGATAAAGTCTTTAGCATAATACAGGCGAAAAGATAATACGCCTATGGTAACTTTCCATTAGCTTTGCAGATTATATTGAATTAGGAATTTATTATGATTAAATGACCAATCTATATAAGGTGTTACATTGTCACTCAAATTTTAGATATTTTCATTTTTTCTTCTCACCAATAACAAGAGAAGTGTTCTCGAACATTTATCTTGAGTAATGCTAAGAACATAGAATGATCAATTTAGCTGGTTTAGAGAGATTGAATGAAATTATCACTACAGGTCATTTGAACTAGTTGTTTTGCGTAGCTTGCCTTCTGACAATACATGTCAAATACTTATCTAAATATCAACAAGAGTAACTGACTTTAAGGGAGTTGCAAATTCATATTTATATGCAAAACATGTACTCCAGTATAATTGTCAGTGATCTGATCAAACGTATCAACAGTATACTTTTTCTTGTCGTCTTAATAGCTATTTGTCTTCAAATAATACTACGAAGCGTTTCCATATTTATTATTTAACATAGTCAAATATGCGTGGTGTATAAAAAGAGGAAATAACTGAATTGAAAAACTCAGCCGTTATAGATGGTCATAAAAATGTACGGAATAGATATTAAAAAAAGTTTTTTTTTAAATAATTTAATTCATCTATTATATTGCTATGTTTCTGCACTTTAATCTCTATATAAGTTGGTCTATTTCTATACATAATGTTGGCTTTTAATCCTAGTAAACAAAATTATTCACAATTAATTTTCACCAGTATTTCAAATTTTTATGTTTCCTTAAGTTTTTAAAATCAATCTCTTCTAACCATAAATAAATTCAAAACAAATAAACTTTCAGCAACTAATATTTTAATGTTACATTTCTCTTCTTTTTTTCTAGGTACACATGTTATGGAAGGTTCTGGTAAAATGGTTGTTACAGCTGTTGGAGTGAATTCACAAGCTGGTATTATATTTACATTGTTAGGTGCAACTGAAGGAGACAGTTCAACTGCTGCACCACCGCCTCCAATTAATTTAGCTAATGCTAATGAGATGACACAAATTTCAAGGAATACAAATCCAAACTATGATGCAGATGGTAAACAACAACATGAAATAAATAAAAATCCTAATGATCAATCTAATGGTAATAAACATTCAATTAAAGGAAGTGGCCATGTCGCTTTCAGCGGTACATCTGAAGGTAAATAGAATTTGATTATTAGTAGATTGCATATAACATGTTTACTTTTGAGGAACATATATAATTTGTTCCCATATATGTTGAATTATAATAACACGGAGGTAGTAAACACCATTTTAATTTGCCATGAATTATTGATAGTGAATTCTAATTACATACCAGTTGAATGCTAATGATAATCATATGAATAAGTCATCGAAATAACTGTAAGCAACAGAAACGAAACTTATTTTTTTAAGTACGATTCTTTGTTAAATTGTTAATTAAATATGCTTTAAAGAGGGATTTTCGTCACAAGCTAACATTTGATAGTAAAATATGATTATTCCTAGTATGAATAGTTTATTATCATTATGGGTATCCTGAAGTTTTAGTTAGAATTACAGAAATTTATATTCACTTCAACCAGAAGTGAAAATTCAACACACTGATGACTTTAAGATTGAGTTATATACTTTATGTCCTTAACATATACAATTATCACGAAGTACGATAGCTAATTTCGATATGCGGACTTATACAAATAAACTAATGACTCATATACTAGTACAAGCAGCCTAGAGTCTCGAACAGTCCTTTTTCCTCCTAGCCCTACCTGTCAAGTCCAGAACACTATTCCCAGCCTCCGCGATACCAATCATTTATTTAAAACATACTTGGTTCATATAGAAAAAGATCAGACTACATCACAACACAAAGTGGAAAGTAACATTTGTGCAAGATCAAGCCAGAAAGAGGCTGTGACTGTGAGGAACTATTACTAATAAATTCGAAATATCTCAAGAATACTAAATCGTATGATAAGAGTCAATAAGTCAAATAAAAGCTTATAATGAAACTAACATAAATATACATATAATACAGTCACTTAATAGTCATACAATTAAAATATACGTATAACATTAGTCCATAAATGGATCCCAACAGTTACCTTTCATCATTCTTGTTGAGATATAACAGTATAAACTATGGTATAACTGAAGTAATGAAATATTATTTCCAATCATATGTGTACATTACATTATAGAGAACCCATGATTAAAAACATTTCACTATTTCTATTACTTTATTTACATGTATAATCAAAAATCATTTTATTCATAAGTCATATAGTCATTTTAGCTGATATCATGAAAATGAATTAGTTTCAATTTATTTTTGTCTATAAACGAATCGAAGTTATGTTACAACACATAAACTAATGAATGTTTTATAAACAGATGTTATTCATAACTCGTAAAATTCTTCTGACATATTGTTGTGAACAATGAAGTCAAGTGAGGAAAACTAATTTATTGTTTAATGCAAAATTATAGAGTTCATTCGTAAAATATGAAAACCAGACATGAAATACAATATTTGCATATCTTCCTTCAGTTGTCCTTTTACACATTTTATGATTTTTTTTCAATTCTGATGTTATTACAATTGCTCTCCTTGTTTATATTCCTGTTCTATGCAATTGTATCTTCTGATTTTTCTGCTGGCACGCATTCCACTTCTGATCGATGCTACATACTACTAATATCTGTCAACATATGTAGCATACACTACAATATAGTTTAAAATAAAAAGCTGACTGAGAAATATTATATGTATTTAGTTTTATTAGAAGGGATTTTGCGGAGATTTTAGAAATTTCACTGATTGAAATCATGAGTCAATTGAAGCTAGGCCACCGTGGAAAACCTGGAAGCACTGAACGGCCGTTTTGTCCTAGTATGGGACTCCTCAGCAGTGCGCATCCACGATCCCGCACCTCGCGAGATTCGAACCCAGGACCTATCAGTTTCGTGCCAAGCGCTTAACCAACTAGACCACTGAGCCGGTATCCAACGGTGTTAATGTCCAACTTCAACCAATCCACGAAGTTGCGCTACCGTACACCAATGTCATCAGTGAGTTGATATCTCACAACAGACCTGGTTGAACTCTAATGGTAACGGCTTCTCACTAGAACTCCAGGAGTCCCATACTAGGACGGAATGGTCGTCCACTGCTTCCAGGTCTTTAGTTTTGTCAAAACAGATTATGAAATAAATTATTGTTATAAATAGGATTATTATCATTATTGATCTGTTCTAGTTAATTTAAAAATGGAAATGTATAGGGGGAATATTTTTCTCTTGCTCCACAGTCATAAATTCACAAATTAAACATTCATCAAACTTTAAAATCAGCAAATAATTGGTTTGGAAATTCACAATATAACGCAGTCATTTTCAATTTTGGGTTACTGCTTCACATGTAACACAGTTGTCCTCCACTGGCTACAACTTCTCAGTATAAATTTTAGAAGTACATCTAGAAGTCAGTCACTAGTGAGCACGTAATAATTACCAGTACAAGTGGCTTGTATAGCTTGCTGAACGTTATTGAGATCACGAAATTCACTCAGATCAACAAGTACCAAAAAACAGAAAGCATTAAATAGCTGGTAGGGTTGTCGTTTTGAAGGGTTAAGGAGCCGTTACCTGACTATAACTTATGGATGAACCAATTAAATTTGAGACGGCAGGTCCTGAATTTTGGCGTGAAATTCACTCACCCAATTAGTTACATAGCATTTTGGCATGATAGCTTGTGCCAGTTGGTGATGGAAAACCTGACTATTATTCCTAACTTTGGCATCCTACTGTAAATCCTATCTCCGATTCCTTACGTTTATTTATGTCATTCATTTGACCTTAGTAGATTGGCGGACATCCTTAAGGTCACTCAAGCATCTTTCAAAATTCACCTACAAATTATAGTCTCACATGAGGCGTTTACTAGGACGAAACATCTATCACGTGCCTCCTGATTTTTAATGACTGTCTAGATTAAGTCGGTTCGTGATCTCAATTATATTCAAAAGACTTCAAGAACTTTCTATGCATACATATATAAAGGTGGAGAAATGGTGGGCATGTCGTTTATTTGAAGTGATCGAATACAAAACTGATTATCTATAACGTACAATGGCTTACAATTAATAGATTACTTTCTAAATGTCTATGTATGCACGTTTTTAGTTTTTTCCTCAAGGAGAAATTTGATAGGAAACGAATAAGCAACGAAGAAAATAAATCGTTTTATTCTTTATTGTTATTTGAATAATAATAATTATTATTATCATAACCATAATAAGTTATTACCATTGTTATTATTTTTATCCTACTTATGTATTCTGACGATATAAAGATACATTAGTAAACGTTGTTTGAATCTTCAGTAATAAATATTTTATTATAATTGGCCTTAAACCATAGTTTGTGTATAAATATACACTTTCACACTTTCATACATTTATGCATGTGAGAAGAACTTAAATTAAGATTCTTATCAAATTAATTACCACCATATAAGATATGCAAAAATTGTAATATGTGAATCAGGAATTGTTTGTTATATAAATAAAATCGTTAATGTTGGGGCTGACTAATATGAAGTGTTAACTTGAATCAGTTTATAAGCGAAATGAAATTGTGAGATAAATTATCAGAATAAATATGGTCAACATGGGGTAAGAGAGAGAGAGAGAATATTGTGATTACAAATCGGAAATTGCGTAATATGTAAAATAATTAGGTAAAATATAGTAGATTCAGGGGTGAATATTGAATAAATTCCTCAAAAAGGGGTTATCAAGTGTAAAGACAATAATAGTAATAATAATAATAAGTTTGGGACATAAAATGAACATTAATCAGATTACGTCACCAGATTATAAAATTGATTAATAGCTAGTTGGCCAGGGTAAAAGGAGTGGATGAACATACTTCTTTTGGATACAAAGCTCTGGCTTTTTGATCCGAATAGCAATTACTTCAGCTGTCTGTAGGATTCGCAGTCTGACGGAATTAGGTAGACTGCTGTTGACACGATAGACTATTGCAAAAGATTGCTCCATGTTGGCTGTATGTCCTGTTTGGACTAAATGGTCTTCTTGTTTTCATATCAATTCCATTGATTTATTTTATTTAGTTCTATCAAAGTGAATCTGTCAGTAGTTTTGTACAGTTTTGTCATAATTTTTATAATGAACCGATGTCATGCAGAAATGGTAATTGTCGTGATCAATGACTCATCAGAATTGCACAACCACGACTGAACACACTATGGGTAGTAGAATGTTCGGATCTTGAATTGAACAAGATACCTGTAAACCACTTTTGAGAAATCAATTGAATCGTATTTTGAAACCCAACTTATCTTAGGTATAGTTGAAGGTGATGCAATGTTCTTTTTAGGTTACAATTTCAATTTCCATCCGGTTAACGCTAACGGTTATAGCTTTTCTACGCCACTCCAAGAAATTTATTTTGCAAGCACATTATCATCGGATAGATGACTGATTTGAACTCTAATCATACTGATTTACTTGTGCACTACTTATAACGTATTTAGTTCATAAATTTTATCGGTTCCCTGAGAAAAATACAAAGTCACTCTGTGTTCCCAGTTTGTGCTTATTTCACTGGTGAAGTGAATTAATCTCTGACACGATAAATTGGATGTCAAAACACTGGAGAACACTTTAAGGACCCTCTAAATTATGAAAATATTTAGAATTCACTTGAATGATTTCATATTTTTGCTTGCCATTATAAGTTCCTCAGCTGGTAAAAATCTATCATGTAGAAGATATTGACTTAGCACTAAGCTACCTGCAAGAAATAATCATGTTACCGAATCACTTTGCAACTTAATGCTTCTTTTCAAACAAATAATCAAACCCTTTGATTAACTCAAACCAATCAGAATATATTGAATACAATGAAATTTTCACTTTTTGTTTGTTACATTTTTAAAGAATAAAAATGCTCATGTCATTCTTGGGTATTCAAATGTATATATCTTGTGTAACCTTGTGTATTTGTGTTAAATTATCATCATTATTTGTTTGACCTTATCCTCAGGATGTGAAATTCATGCTACAAATAGGCCTCGTTAATTTGAAATTTCAACTTTAAGGTCAAAAATTCGTTTCATTTCTTTTTTGTGTGAAATTTACCCAT